GCATTGGATATTCACTGTCCCTGGTTTCCTCAGAATGGGAATTATCATTTAAAAGACTGGGAAAAAATAGGACAATTTTTCCAAAACCATCCTCAGATTGATGTCAAAGTTTTGCATGCCTGCTGTAAGGTTTATAAGGCTATCTCAAGCCTAACTCCTACAAATCTCCTCCTGGCCGCTGCTTCAGCTCCTTTGCCCCCCTCCCAATCCTCATGCTGCCTTCAGAAGCACCGTTTTATCAGCCTCCTAAACAGGCAGACATTTTTCCTCCTTCGGCTTCTGTCGTCCCTCCTCCGCATTCTTCGCTTCCTGCGCCTCCCGTTACTACTCCTCTCCAAGAATCTCTCCGTGCCGCTGCTCCGTTGCTAGCTTTTGATTCTACAACTTCTAATCTTTTTCCTGTGAGTGTTCCTCCCGCCCTGGGGGGAGGCCCAGCCAGGCACGAACAGTTTGATTTGAGATTCATAAAGGAACTGTATTCTTCTGTCAAGGACAATGGCCCTACACCCCCAGCCCCCGTCATGCTGACCCAAACTGATGTCCTCGATGGGCTGACGGGAGGAGGCAATTTTCTTACCATTGCCCAACAGTTGGCCCTTGATCCTATGTATTGGGCAGCCACCACAGCCTCAGCCCAAGAGGCTCTGGCCTCTGTCCCTGATGACAAGACTGAGCGCAATGGCCGGTGGGGAAACATCAGACAGGGCCCTGCAAAGCCCTATGGACAATTTGTTGATCGCTTGTATAATACCTTCAAGCGGCAAGTTCAGGACCTGGCAGCACAAGAACTGATTGTACGCCAGCTTGCATCTGATCATGCACATGAGGACTGTAAGCAAGTGCTGCGCCCTTTGATGGCAACATCAAATATAGCCATTGCAGATATGCTTAAAGCCTGCCAGTCAGTGGGCACTGAGATGCATAAAGCTCGCTTGCTAGCCACGGCTCTGTCCTCCGCAATGTGCCAAAATCCTGCAAAGGATAAAACCTGTTGGATTGACAGTGGCTAAGGAAAAAATCCAGCGGACCTCACCTATTACGTACCTGGGACACAAGCTGACAGTATCTGCAGCCATTGCAGTCACGCCTCAACTACAGTTTCCTGGTCATCTTAGACTGGTGGATTTACAACAAATTCTTGGACAGCTGAATTGGATAAAGAGTTATTTGGACCTGCCTCATACTCCTCCGTGGACCGTGTATGCTACACCCAACACCGTCATGGACCTTGTTGCTAAGGGCCGACATTGAGCCCTTGCTCTCTCTGGAATGGACTTACAGTCAGTGTACCTGCCCTTCTCCCAGGAAGAATTTAAGCATCTGATGATGACAGCCGTTTCTACTCAAATAGCTTTTGCTGATTTCTTGGGAAATATCATTCACAATCCTCCTAGAGACCCTCGTTTGCCTTTCCTTACAGGGCTACGTTATGTCTTGCGAACTGCTTTGTCCCTCCTACCCTTACCCTCTGCCCTTACTGTGTTCACTGATGGTACCAAATCCAGAGGGGTGGTGGTGTGGGAAGAGGAGGGGGAATGGAAAAGTTTGTATACTACTGAGCAGTCCTCAGCACAATGTGCTGAATTGGCAGCTGTAATTTTGGCATTTCAACAGTTTGCTAATATCCCTTTCAATCTCATTGTGGATTCTCATTATGTATATAATCTTTTGAATGTCTTACCATTGTCTTATATCACTCCTGCTATTGATCAAAATTTGTTTACATTGTTTTCCACTTTGCAGAACTTGGTACAAGCTAGAACTTGTCAGTTTTATGTAGCCTATCTCAGATCTCACACTGGCTACCCTGGGTATTTGGCAGAAGCTAATGCCCAGGCAGACCATGCTTTGAAGAATGGTATTTTTTCATTGTTTTCAGACGCATTTGAAAGTCATTCTGTATTTCATCAAAATGCTAAAGTTCTGGCGAAATCTTTTTCGTTGCCCATTTCTCAAGCTCGAGACATTGGGCTTTTTCTGGATTGTGGGTTTTACATGCCAATAATCGAGCCATGGAATATCACACAGGTTGCTCGGAAGTGGCCATTGGACTAATTTACCATTCTCATCCTTATTGACATCACTTGGATTTTACCCCCCAGATACTTTTTTTCTTTTTCTTTTTCTCCTCCCTCAGGAGTCCTGCCCTATGATGTGTTCCCCTGAGCATGTACAGAGGGCTGTCTTGGAACTATTGTGGACTCTTGGCAGGGGAGGGGTGAGGGGATTTTAGTGTGTTCCAGTTGTTTCATTTTTGTGCTTTGGCATGGTTCCCGGACAGAAAGAAAGTTGCAATATGGTTCTTTAGCAAGGCCCGCGAATACAATGGGCTCTGTTCTCGACCTTGTTGCAATCTTTTTAGTTACAGCAAGCGGAATATGCTTGGCTAGTGCCATTTAGCTGCTGAGAAAAATGATTTTTAAAAGCTTCTCAAAGCTTTGAAGTTTTTTTGGTGGTGGTATTCTAGTATTCCAGTAAATGCTTTATATAAGATTAGCAATAATATGAAGGATAATCGTATAAGTTTATTCCCTGTGTTTTTATCGCTTGCAAAAATAATGTCTTATTGTTTTCGTTTTAATCATAATAGAAAAAATTTTTAGGTCATTATCCATATTGTAATTGGACCTATGAGTATTTTGATGGATTTTTTTTGCTTTTTATTTTTTTTAATTACCACTATGAGTGATAGACCGAAAGTCTCAGTTAATAATGTCACAACCTACATGACTTATGACCAACAGGCTGCGTGTAGAGATTTTTATGTTTGGTTGGACTGGATGAGAAAGAGCAGTAAATCTGCATGTTTGCTTCAATTTGATTTATGGTTATTCTGTGGCAAATTGGACCGAAGCTTTGTTTTTAATTCTATCATCTTTGTTTTAAAAATAATTAACAAACAAACAAACAAAAAAAGTCAGAAATGAGAGAAGTTGCTTTATAAACTTTTTATGCTTTAAATGTAATCCTTGCCTCTAAAGGTGGAATTTATGCCTTAATTCATTCTCATTATTGTATGTATATAACTGATCAATCGACCAATATCTCTGCTATTATTGATTATATGGAACAAATGATAACCCATAATCCTTTGAATCCGCCTGAAGGTTTTGATCCATGGGACTGGTTATTTTCTTGGTTACCTAATGGAGTATGGTTAAGAAATTTATTATTGATTGTAATTGCATGTATTGTTGGTTTTATTATGTATTCAATGCTTGCTTTCTTTGATTTCCCAATATATTGCATGGTGGTTCCGACCAAGGCCCACCACAGGGGTTACAAGAGGAATTTATGTTGCAAAATATAAATGCTTAGGTAATGAGATATACGATTCTGATTAAGATTCCCTCTTATAATATAAACAAGAAAAGAGGGCATGTGGGAAAATGATTGCTTGTACATAAGAGCATGAGCAGAGTTCTTATTATTACAGAGTGATTTTACAGCACGAGATATTGCTAAGAGCATGATGGGCACGTGAACACCTCATGCTAGACTGATGATTGGCTCACGTAACATAACACTCTCTTTGTCTGTGGGCAAAAGCAAGGTTACATTCCTTTGATTTGGTACCTTGGAGTACCAGGCAGAGCAAGCGCAGTGCTGGAGGAGGGAGGATGATTTTCTTTTTTACTGCACACAATAAACATTGCACGGCTGAAGCCAAAGTTTTTTCTTCAAGTCATCTTGGTGTGAGACTGATTTCTTACTGATCTTCCTACTGATGTCGAGCTGGATTCTCGACAGCCTGCATGCCGAAGGCTGGGCGCGCTGAGCTCATGTGACAAGAGCGGGTGGAAGTGCCATATGCCATTCGGATTAACAGGTAAGTAGACGTGGGTGGCGCTGTGGGTTAAACCACAGAGCCTAGGACTTGCCGATCAGAAGGTCGGCGGTTCGAATCCCCACGATGGGGTGAGCTCCCGTTGCTCAGTCCCTGCTCCTGTCAACCTAGCAGTTCGAAAGCACGTCAAAAGTGCAAGTAGATAAATAGGTACTGCTCCGGCGGGAAGGTAAACGGCATTTCCGTCCGCTGCTCTGGTTCACGAGAAGTGGCTTAGTCATGCTGGCCACATGACCAGGAAGCTGTACGCCGGCTTCCTCGGCCAATAAAGCAAGATGAGCGTTGCAACCCCAGAGTCTGCCACAACTGGACCTAATGGTCAGCGGTCCCTTTACCTTTACCTAGCAGCAAGGACAATGCCCCCTCTCCCACCAACAAGTTCGCCAAGATAGCTTAAAGAAGATTAAGGAAGTCTAAGTCCTACTCATCACTATTACAGTTATATTGAATGGGGAAACTCCAGTTCATCTGATGCACAGATACACAAGGGATATGGACCATGTGACCATCCAAAGGCTATTGGACTCCAACTCCCATCAGCCCACCCTGCATGGCAAACGGGCAGGGAAGATGGGAGTTGGAGTCTTAAAAAAAAAGCAGCACCTGGGGGTCCACAGGTTCCCCATCCCATCACTACCCTGGGACCCGCCAGCCTTGTCCCTGAAACGGGGAAGAGTGTATCAGGTGAGTGCAAGGGGAGCTCTGCGCATGCGCTCCCTCCCTCTGCCTCGGGGGCCAAACATAGGCCCGAAAGAGCCGGAGCGGGAAGCCGGAGCGCGCGTCCCCCTGAAGCCGCACCGAGGCGTCGTACTTAAGTTTTCCACAGCGAGGAGGAGCTCTCTCCCCTGCTTCGCTCTCCTTTTACCAACTTCTCACCTCCACCGTGTTTACGGGAGCCGCCGCTTGCTCCGGAGTTGAAGCTCCCAGCTCCGCCGCCAGCGTCTCCATGGCAGAGATAACCAGCCAGTCCGGTGGGGAAAGCGACGAAAGCCCGGCCTGCGCTGTGCAGAGCGCACCGAGTACGGCTGTGAAACCGGCCCCCTGATGCAACTGGGCCCGCAGCGCAGAGGTTCCGCCGCAGAAGTGATCCGGTTTTGCCTCAAGCGCTGCTTGGCCAGGAACGAGTATAGAAACGCCGGAATTCCTCTTTACAGCTCAGTTTTCCTCAAAACCGATCCCTGAGCTGAGGAAGCTGCTTCCTGTCCCCCGTTTCCTAACACACAGGAAATTGTGGCACGTCGAGTACGTTCCGGTGTAAGGTAAAGGTAAATGCGGCAATCAGCATTGAAATGGATGAACGCAACATAAAAGCTTTTTGGTGAAATTCCTCGAATGGGAGCAATAGAAACACAAACCGCTGGTATAAATTCCCTATCAAGGAATCTGCTAATCATCCCCGTTCATCACAATAGAGTAAAATGCAACAAATATAACTTTCTTTTGTGATTGCACTGCAGTATTAGATACTTAACGTTCATGCCACTTCTTTCCTAATTGATTATATATGTTTTGAGAGTTATATGATAGGCAGAAGTACAATAGGTGTATGTATTTCCGCATCTTGGCCAGGAAGAGTTTTGCCTGTTGGTTTTCTGACATGCAGATGTCACAGACCGCATTGTATAGAAAGCAAGAAAAGAAAGGATTGGTATCCATAGAACAGAACCTACCTGACCTTAGAAATAAACTACTAACCCAGTAATTTTTTTAACGTAACCTGATTCAACCTAGGCACTGCCATTGTGATCATATGCAGTCACTTGGACTGATTCTGGGTGTCTCCTCCTTCCTCAAATGTTGGATCACTACCAGTGGTTGGGTTAGCAGTTTAATGCTGCTTTTAACAATATGATGGCAACCCAACTGGCAGCTTGGACCTACTGCAACTTTTGCATATGTCTAGGTGGCAGCAGTTTGTTTTCATTCTGCTGCTAAGTATTCCTTAGTCCCAACAATAATGAAGGCAACAGGTACATACTAATGGCTTGCAGTGGCCCCTTTTTGCTTATTGTTAATAGTAATTTTTAATTAAAAACAAATGCTCCCACTGCCATGGCTAAAGTAGTATTGCTTTTACATGAAGATGCCAAGTGTGCCCAATAGGCAGCTCATAGGGATAGCTCATAGGGAAACAAATGCAGCTATTTAACTTGATATGCCCTGCCCACACCATAGTGAATAGTGGCAAAAGGAGAGATTGTGAACTGTATTGGCAGCCTATTTCCTTCATGTGATATGCCCTGCCCACAGCTGTTCACACCATTGTGAATAGTGGCAAAAGTGGAGCACAGTGGGCGATCCATATTAGGGACATCAGAAGCTGCCATTGGTCCATCTACCATATTGTTTACACTGGAGCAGATCCCTAGGATTTCAGACAGGGGACATTCACAACCCTATTTGGAGATGCCAGGGATGCTATTATCTGCATGCAAATCAGATGCTCTATTGCAAAGCTATGGCCCTCCCTGGTTCTAAATCTCCCTCGATTTTGAATTTGTCAGCAATGGTGGCTTCTCATGGGTCTGTGCAGAGCTGAACTTCATTTAGCCATCAGTTGACTTGTTCCCAACTTGGGCTACAGCGTCCACATTCAAAATAGCCAAGAATAAATGGTCTCTGCAGTTGCATCTTTTTTTGTTTTACTACTTTAAATGAGAGGGAATCTCTACAACATTTTAAATCACAAACAAATTTTAATGAATACGAAATATTAACACACAGAAAAACCCATCTCACAAACCAGTTACATACACTATCTTGCTTTCGTTAAGCTAACAAAAGTAAACATATTTGGATTATTTCAGCAAACAACATGCAGGAGGGACAAGTTAACTGATTAATTTCAACATCCAAAAGGCTCTGTGAACATTAGCTAGGAAACATTCAAATAGTGCTGAATGGACATACCATGCTATATAAAATGCCCCTTTAAAGTCATTTATAAAATCACAAAACAAAGCTTGCTTTCTCTTAGGCCTCTGCATGAGTGTTTTCTAATAAATATTATTGTTTCCCAGGTAAATTAGAATCTTGTGGAGGGACTGTGGCTCCATTTGACTCCTGCAGAGTGCTTAAGAAAACAGAAAAAGATATATACCACAATAAGATGATTACAATAAGGTTTCTTGTGGATGTTTATAACATAACCTAGCCATATCTATGTCACACGTATTAGTTTAGACTATTTAATATATTCTCCTTTCAAATTTAAGAAAGTATAGAGTTCCCTTATCAGAATTTGGGGTGCTATTGGCTTCTTGATACAAATAGTTTGTGCATCAAGTCTTATTATTTATTGTTAGCATACGCTTTATATTGCAATAGCTCCCACAAAGCAGAGTTTCTCCAAGTCAGCCTAACAATTTTAAAACGTGAAAAATATATATTAAATTCCTATTCCTTGTAATTGGACATAAAATCTTAGAGCAGCCTTCCTCAGCCTGGTGCCCTGCCAGATGTAGTTGTGCTCCAACTGACAGCAGCCCCAGCAGCGGTTAAGGGAACTGGAGTCCTGCAACATCAGGAGAGCAGCAGCCTGGGGAAGGCTATCTTAGTGCAAGGCAAGTGCAGGGCAAGGAACACTCTCTTCCAAAGGCATCTTGAAAAGGATTGTGTGGTTTGAGAGAGTAGTCTGTAGAGTCACATATGGCTATCACTAGCACCACTGAATTCATTGAACTGAACAATAACTGAATACGCATTCGCCATTTTGCCATTTTGCTTAATCCCACAGGGAAATCAAAACTTGTAGGAAGGAAAGAAATAATTCTGCCTCTCCCCACCCTCAGGCAGGAAGTCAGCCTTAGTCTGAGATAGCTGAGATATACTTGGTAGAGATTTTAAAAAGAAGATCCTACATTTCCATTTTTTTATTTAAAAAAATCAAAATTGCCAATAAAACTACAATGCTTTTTATATCAAGGTCCTCTGCGATAGACACATCAAAAACATTGTATGGCAAATGGTTTTGAACCTTACTCCCAAAGTGAATAAAAATTCATTCTTACCAAAAACACACTTTAGGGATATAAAATATCAATTGGGAGTATTTAGAGACTCCCAATATAAGGTTTATATACTTAACAAGTTTGTTATTGAAAAAGATCACAGTGAATTAGTATTATAAATTGTACTTCCTAGAAGTAATTTTGTTCAAGTCATGATTCATTTCTGGTATAAAAGGGATGATTAGATAACCAAAGTAATGAAGCTTTCCTATATTGAATAGTTTGAGATATGCAAATATATATAAATATATAGTTTGCATATAATAATGCAGGCTCTCAAGCAATCTACTACATCAAAACATTCCTGTGGCTTGCTTGAAAAATGTGCACTTATTACCCTTCCATGTGCCAGCTAGACTATGCAGGGGGTTGTTTGTTTTTTAATACCTCTAAGCAGTTTGGAACTGGGCTGCTATGAAGACTGCTCATGAAGCAGGCAGCAGTTCAGGAGCAATCTGATGAGAGCCATCCCCTTCCACCCCACACCACAGTTGCCAGCACAGAACCAAAGGAGGGATATGGAGGAGTGAAAATAGGGTTTTGTTAACAAGCCAATTTGGAAAAAGAGCGGTAGGGTTGGGGTTAAGAGCTTAATATTTTAATTCAGATCAAATCTGAACCACTAACTTCAGTTTTATTGCTCTGAAGGCATTGGAATAAGCATGTTACTAAAACATCAGCAAGCATTTCTCCAACATGTCACAACTGTTTGCAAGAGAATACATTTACAGTAAGCAAGTGCAATAAATGTTACAATCTGCCATTATAAACAGAATTATTTCTTTAAATTTTTTTTTAGTAACTTTGCATATTCAGGGGACATTTTATTTATATGTATATAGTATCTCTGGTCTAGCCCACTTAGACACACAGATTTATCTCTCTGTAACAGTCATCTTTGCAAGCCATGCACGTTGAGAAGAATACAAATCACAATATAAATACTGTGACCAGGAAGGAACAAAAGAGACCCAAATATTTCAGTTAGTAGAAGGTTCAGGCTCTGCTTTGCTTGCTTCACTGAAGAGCAGTTTTCGGAAAATACTTGCATAGAATGGTCCATACACCTGTTTATTCAGGTTAACAATGTTGGCATACTGTGATCCAATGGTCTCTATCTCAGTCTGAATCACAGCAAGGCCTCCTGGAATTGTGGGCGTAGACTTCTGAAAGCCTGGAGAAGCAAGCAAGCTTCTCATGTACAAATGAATCCGTTTATCTAGAGAGGGGGGGAAACACATCACATAATTAGAATTTAAGAAAGTAAGAATTGGCCAACAGTGAATCTAGCCTAGCATCCTGTTCTGAGAGTGGTCAACCAAAGGCTCATGGGACACCCACAAACAGAACCTGGGCGCAAGTGAACTTTGGCTTGTATCATTCAAGACAGACAGCATAATGTTCTAAATATGAATGAAGTAGGCCCCTTCATGTTTTAACTGCATGAAAAGCATCCATGCATACATAGAAAGAAGCAGCACAGCCTCAACACAGGCTCCACCCCCAAACCCATGTGCTAAGAATGGACAACTGAGGCCCATGTCCATCTATGTGGACAGACTTCCCAGGAATTGAAACCCCGTATGATCAAGTTGCTGAGGAGGTCTACATACATAGGTGTCACTATCTCAAGACACCCACATATAGTGCTGTGGACATCTCATCAACAATTTTAAGGTTGGGATTGCAACTTGTTTTGCTACAGTACAGTAGCCTTTGGAAGGTTTCTGCATTTCCTGTGAAGATAAATTAAAATCTGCGTTCAATTCCTGCACTGAAGCATGGGTTTGCATGTTTACAGCAAGGCCTTGAAGGGGCAGAGACAGAAATCAGGAGGCCAGTCCTTATTACAGCAAGCTGTTTCCTCTGCTCTTTTGAACATACTCCTTGCATTTCTGTCCCAGTCAGGAGGGGTGGCATTTAGGTATGGTGGGGGGTTTTTTAGAGGGCGGGAAGAACAAGAATGTTTAGGGTGCAGTTGCCTAGATCAACCAAGGGGTAGTTAGGGAGATTAAGCTCCTGTAGTTATTATATAACCACTGCCTTTTTCCTCTGTAGAACTGGTAAGATGACCAGGCAAGGCCAAAGAGTAATAGTAGCAAACCCCACCACACAGATTTAGTTACCCCTGATCTACAGTCAGAAACCCTTCAACCAAACACATGGACAGATCCCTCTGCACACACAGCTCAGTGTGTGGAAGTTCTGTTCAGGCATAAACGAATGTGTGTAGAGAGAGGTACAAAGTC